TTTATCTCACAGGCTCTTTTGATCACAACTAAAACTATAAATGCTCTTTTCTAGAGAAGATATTCATTAGATATTTATATCGTTAGCTACTCATATACACTTATTTATTGATATAAAAAGTGAGTTAAAGCTGGTAATAGGAGGTGGGTAGTTTGTGATATTACTCTGACCTAAATGTACTGCTCTTGTAATGAAGTTTGCGTCCCAGCAGCAGGTGTTGGCCTTAACACTTTGCATATGACTTCCATATGATTAAGCAGTTATTACATCTGGTTCAACTTCTTAGTGTATGTGTGCACAGGGCTCTTCTTATAGGCACTATTCAGAGGGAAAATATTTCAGTGACCAGTAAGTCTTGAATGCACCTTTGGCCAATGAAAGTGTTTTTCTAAAAACTATTTTTCCACCCTTTGAATTCTTTTCCACAGCTAGTCGGTCTCAAAGTCTTTTGTCTTTAGTGCACTCAGGCGTGTACTTACTTTGGCTGTGGCTCCCTGACTCAGTGCACTAAGGGAGGCAGAGGACCTCTGCTGTAAGAGGTCCAGTCGCGGAGGCACCGGAGGCAGCTGAGACACTGGAGATGGAGGGCGCTCCACCTGCACACCCACACATTGATTTACAGATTTTGTAGCAGATGAAGTGCTTGTAATATTCCTCAGCGATATTTACACAATAAGGATCACTCAAATCACCTTTCATTCCTTTTCTGATGCTCTGCTAGAACTTGAGCAGGTCATCTTGACCATATCTATTAGCTAAATTTACTGAGTTGTTGTAGCAATTACCTGATTAATTATGTGCATTAATAAGCAATCGAACAGCTGCGTCTAATAAAGCACCCAGTGAGCGTCTAAATATATGTACGTGCTCGTCTTACTTTGGTGCAGGCCAGCCTGCTCATGACAAGTTGCTGGTCTTCCAGCCGATCATCCTCTTCCTCTTCGTTGCCTGCGGCTTCTGCTCTGCTCGACCCCTGGAAACCAGCAAAGGAAGCCCCACTGGCCTTCGGGTGAAAGGGGTCCACTACAATAGGCTCCGTGCCTTTAATCTCACATCGGCAAAACGGGCAGCCCTGACCCTCCGATTCCTGAAATGCACACACACAGAAAGACAAAGCAAGGTTAGGAGGTAAAGGTAAAGGAGCAGACTGAAGCTTTCATCATTTGTAAAAGGCTTTGCTTTGATTTAAACCCAAATTACAGCTGCAAGTCTTTTCAAGAATGAAAGCTGAAGGAGGAAACCATGAAAACTACCACAAAAAGAGTCAACCTGGATATGATGAATTATAATGTAAATAAAACTGAAGCTGTCAAATAAATGTTGTACATCAAAGATCTGCAGAAGGAGCACTTCAACAAAAACCATGTCTAAAGAACTCTGCAGTCATGCTGCGATTAATTAATCTGTTAAATTAGCCCGGAGAGCATTTCTGTCGTGAAAGCAGAGTAGTGAGAACAACACGACTGCGCTTGGGAAGACAACGATTATATTGTTCGTCTGATGTCAACCACAATCAAAATAAATTCCATATAAGGAAGTCTAAAGTCCAAAGTCCATCAAGAATAAACAGCACATCAAATTAATTCATTTAATCACTCATGGCAAACAAGTCCTTTGTGTCACTCTTAGCAAGTCTATGTTCCCAGCCAGTAAAGTCTATTTAATCTTTTATGTTTGAAGAGGAAAAGTTGTTAGTTGTTAGTAACAAGAAGGATTTTATTAAAGGAAGCACAAAAAGAAAGTGCTTCAGCTTCACTGACTGTAAGATAACGTTAATAAAACAATAAAGTTACAGCTACACGTGACCTCGGTGCGTTGGTCCAGTCGTCACCTTGTTGTGTTTTTATCAGCACCCTCGTTAACCTGATCTCACTTTAGATTTATTCTTAGTGCCGATTGGCTGCTGAAGCTTGATGGTTAGTAACTGGAATCTCTGTCCCTCCCCTCTGCCTTTCTGTTGCTACAGGCCTGTTTTTTGATTTTGTTTTTGGTTCCTAGTTAAAAAAAGGAAGAAAAAAAGTAGTTTAGGGGTGACGCCTGAAGCAGACAGTCTGGTGTGGTTCCTTAATGGACTCCTTCCTCTTTTGTTTGTTTGTTTTAGCCGGAGTTCTTTTGCTTCCCTTTGTTTCACACTTTCATTATTAAAACTCAGCAGCACTGTGGGATCTTATGGCTCAAAGAACCGAACGTATAAGTTTGGGGACTGCAACAGTTACACTGAGGAACATGACACGACTCCTCTACTGCAAGAACTACTACTAATAATTTTTTTTAAAAAGAAAAAAGACTTTATACTTAAGTTTAAACATGCAGATCAGCGAGTGGAGTAAAACACTTGCAATCTGAAAATGAATCTAAATCAAAGACTTATTATTAATCGACCTATTTAAAAAGGCACCATTGAACACAAAAAACTGAATTTAAAGAAAATCCTACAGCAGGAAAAAGAAGATCCCTGTCAGGATTTATCGAGCTGCTTCAAATCAGTGTAATAAAAGTTTATAGTTTAAATGGAGAGGTGGCAGATAACGTCATACCTGCCAGGCGGTCAGACACGAGGTGCACATCAGGTGTCTGCACGGCTCGATCTTCACATCCTTGTCGTTCTCTGCACAGATCTTACAAAGCTGGAAAGTAGAGCCCATCTCGCAGTAGAGCTCGTACTGCTCCTACACAGAGAAACGAGGGAAAGAGGGAGACCGTTCAACACCGGCTGCTCATGTTACTCTCATCCTGTAGAGATTTATTCCTAAAAATCTGTCATTTTATGCATCTGTATTTGTTCTCTGCATTAAAAACATGCACGCACATGAGAAACAAACCTGAGTAACTTTGATGTGGCCCTGTGGAGACGGTTCACACAACCCTGTCAGGTCTGGGTTCTGTGCACGGCCATCTGGGAAAAGATAGCTGGAGAACCACGGCACACAGAAACGCAACCAAGTCACGAAAAAAGGGTCAGTTTCAGATTTTATAAATCAACAGTAAGAAACAACAACCTCGCCGTGTTTTTACAATTCATCGAGGCTGCCAAACAATTTCTCATTATAAAATCCTTAAAAAAAACAACAAAACAGGTCTGTTTCTCTGCAGGATGACACAAACTAGTTAATTATACATCGATTGTGACACCATTTCATCCACACTCTCCAACCTGTTCCTCGTAAGGTTTTTTGTTAAATTTTGAGGAACTACTACAAAGACTCCACCCTCCTCACTATTAATTCAGTAACCTAAAGTAACATGTACTCAGTAGGCTGAAAGACAATACTCTCCCCTGACAGCTTGCAGTTTAATAGTGCTATAAATCTACACTAAATACTAGTTCATTGACCCCGATGATATGCGACTCACAATCCCTCTCTGTATCCATCAATGAGTGCTTGGAAGAGTGGTTTGTTATGCGGGATGGTCTGCAGGATGTTCCCATCAGCTGTCACATAGCCAATTGCCCACTGGCCCAGCCGAGTGCAGCTCAGCCTGAAGATATAGCTGTGGGAGAGAGTTATTTCAACCAACAGCTACAAACTCCTGCAACAAAATATTTAATACAGTAGGGATTTTCCCCCAAAAGTATTATAGGATATATCTGATCTGTGAGGCCTACCTGCCAGGTTTGTGGATGAACCTGTGCAGTCGAGCCTTCACCTCATCGTAGGTTAAGAAGGCCATATAACCAGGGTGTGTAACAGCCAGGCTGTTCCAGTTCCTTAGAAGAGATGACCATGGCTGCAAGACACAGATTCACGAATGCAAACATTTTATTTATGTTGTGTACATCGGCTGTTTTGAAGTTGAATTCACAACAAAAATCAGGTATGAGACTATAATGCATATAGGACAGAAGATCTGTTTGCAGCAATAAAATTACAAACACCAACTCTGATCGCTGGCAACACTACAGAAAAACATATGCGAGTGGGTTCAGACCCTGCTGCTGCATTTACACAGGAGAGACTAAACTGGACTCAAATTTAAACAAATAAACAAATTTAAGCGTCCTCATGTAATTCACCGCCTTTACTAAAATGTTATTAAAGTGCAAACGGTGCAATTTTACAGTGAACTACTCTGAATGCTTTGTGACGTACCTGAAAGAGCCTTGTAAAGATGTCAAACTCGAAGACAGAGATGTAGTCGTTACAGGTGAGGTCGATAGTGGATTTGAGCGCCATGGCCTCCAGACCTGAGCTAATAGGGTGAAACTCATGAAGAGCCTGCCGAAATGTCCTCCATGGCACTATGGTCCTGGGTAGAAGGGAGGGAGAGGAAACAAATGTTTGTTGTGGGAACATTGCCTTTCACTATTAGTTAAGACAGAATTTGGGGTTAAACAGAACCTAAAATGTAATAAAATTGCAGATTTGCTAAGCTAACACCTAGCTAACAAGGCAGCAGACCTTTATAAAGACACAACTCTAAATATATACACAGGTGTATTTTTAGTTGACTAAAGGGGACCTGGTATGCTTTTCCTCAAATACACACACTCAACTGTGACTTTATTAGATACGTGTGTTCAACTACTGATTAATACTAATATCTGAGCATGACAGCAACTCAGTGCATTTATGCATGCAGACACATATGTATATGGTTACTAGGGGTGTGGGAAAAAATCGATACTGTGTAGTATTGTGATATTTTGTTTGCTAATAATGTATCGATACAGGGACAGCAGAAATCGATATTTTGTTACAAAAAAAAGTTTTTGTGGAATGGAACATGCTCTGACTTCAGAGCATGTTGATCCTTTTT